TTTAAATATGGTACATTTTTCACTGTCAGACTTGTGCTAGACATCATCGCTCATCATCGAGCCTAGGCAGATGGTGCTATTCTGTGCAAACGTATGCATGTGCTTTAGCTTGATGGAATATTTACCATAGTAGTAGGTTTCACAACAAACAAATCAATGACTACTCTGTATGGTGGAGATAACTGTCTGGATATATCTCTGTCCATGTCTGAGATATCTCTGTCCTGTATTATAACACTAATGCTCCAGCTCCCCCAGTCTTCAGATAAATTACTCCATCAAACACCCCAAACACGATTACCCAGACTTCTCAGTGGAGACAAGCACCCCCACTTGCTTAGTCAGCCTCAGACATTTGCTCCAAGTTAGTCTCATTGTAACATGATCAAATCATTCATTCAGTGCCATCTGTTTTCCTCTGTCCATCTTCTTTACTGTCAACTCCCTCTTTGTCTTTGTGCTATGTTGTCTATAGATTCCTCAGATCAGCTATGCATCCACAGCTCCAGAGCTGAGCGACAACACCCGATATGACTTCTTCTCCCGTGTGGTGCCACCAGACTCCTACCAGGCACAGGCCATGCTGGACATTGTCACAGCCATGGGTTGGAACTATGTGTCCACACTCGCCTCTGAGGGCAACTATGGCGAAAGCGGCGTGGAGGCTTTCATTCAGATCTCTAGAGAGATAGGTGAGTCGTCTTTGTCTCGTGTCAAACAGAGGAACACCTGTTAATTACAGCACAAACTGAAGTGCTGGCAGATGAGAAGCTTAATGTCAGGAACATCAGTCTCATTCATTTTTCAATTCAATTCAATTGGCCACTGTCTCAAAGCAGCCATTATACCACACCTGCAGTGTCATGTGAGAAGTAAGTGTTTTATTGAGCAAGGACTGTTGCTTCTATTATTGTTGTTATGCCTCTGTTTTACTTCTGTGTCAAGGTGACAGGCCTTCGACTGTTGCTTGGCCAGGGAGATATTTTGTTCCAGTTCTAGTCTCTGCTGATGGAGAAGCATGTCAAGGCTGTTGAAGGTGGTGGCATTTGTTTTTCTTGAGAACAAATGGTGTATCCCAAGAAATGTAGCCCTGACTTGAACACACAATACACAGCTGGCTGCTTTAAGGAGCACTTCACAGAGAGTCAGGACTTAAAACAGAGGTTTTACAAATGATTAGAAAAGGGAGATGGGGGTGCTTAATCCTCACTGATATTTCTCCCATTTTTACTAAGCTCCAATACCATGGATTACTGTTATTACTCAGACTTCTCATCCTCCGTCAACATACATATACATTGTTTTTCCATTTTTATTGAACATTTCTGCTGAACATTTCTACTGAACAAACATATATATCTCTAAGCTTTTCTTATTGCATCATTAGGAAACCTCTCTAAAATCTAGCAAACATTAGATACGAGACAAGTTGTAATAACATGTATGTTATATGACTAAAGGTTTTTGGACACACATATGTCCTTGAACATACCATTCCAGATTTTGTCCTTCTTAACTGTTATAACCTCCACTCTTTTGGGAAGGCTTTCCACTAGATTTTGAGGCGTGGCTGTGGGGACTTGTGTTCATTCAGCTACAAGACCATTAGTGATGTTGAGGTCAGTCACTGATGTTGGGTGAGGATTCTCCAGTTCCAGTTCATCCCAACATTGTTCAGTGGTGTTGAGGTCAGGGTTCTGTGCAGGACCTTAACACACCATGTCTTCATGGAGCTCGCTTTGAACACAGGGGCATTGTCATGCTGGAGCAGGTTTGGGCCTCTTAGTTCCAGTGAAGGGAAACTGTAATGCTATACAGTTGTGTGCTGCAGACTTGCTCCACTTTTTTCTCTCCAGATTGCAGGAGCACTTTCCAATTGTTGTGTTCAGTTTCCCAGCTGAATGCAGATCTTCAGCTCAAGTCTTCTCTTGTAACCCAAGAGGATTAAAATTGAGAAGCAAAGGATTTAACACGCATCCAATTAGCCACTAAACAAGTCAAATGAAAAGTTAATAGTCAGGCAACAATGAGGGCTTTGTTCAGGGTCCCTTTAAAGGAAGCAACACTTGCATTCATCATCTTAACCATTGACACCATATCATCTAATTACTTATGTTGTTTTTTATTATTAGGGTAATTTCTAATCTTAATATTGGACATTTACAGCACAACGTGCCATGTCATAAATATATTTAAGCCTTTCATAAGCACTTGTCCATAACATCTTAAAGTGAAATATGTTGGATTGGGTAGTAATACAGAAGCAATTTATACAGAAGTTTGTTTTTTCTTCTTTTTTTTGTGTCTGCGCTTCTGTGTACAGTAAATAGAAAAATTCTGGTTATATAAATGTGACCTAGTTGTTTCTGTATAGTGAGCTGGATTGGTTGAATGTCTGCATTTTACTAATGAGGCCTGAAGTCTGTCTCAGTGTATTTGTACTGAGCTAGCAGTACTGATGACACATTTCTACCAGTCACTCCACAGACCATGAAATAATATTGAAGAACGTTACTATGAAATCACATCTGTTTCTCTTTGCATGCCATCTCTTAGCAACGGGTGAATCGTGCTTATATTTGATTCCTACATGATCAATGCTTGTGAAGCTGCGGCTTAAACAATGATGCGGCTAATTTATGGATTTTTACGGGCTAACGAGCTTCATGCCGCCTGTTACACCACGGCCAGCAGAGGGCACTGTGGCACGGCTCCTGACTGGTCACGTGACCTTGTTTTGGTTTGCTCGCTTCCTGCTTGAGCATTTAGTTTAGTTTAAGTGTCTTTAATGTGCCCCAGGTGTCCATGGTTTGGTTTGATTATGTGTACTATTTAAACCCCTCGGTTACTGAGCACTTCGCTCAGTATTATAGGTGGTAAAGTTTAGATAGGTGATGTAGTTTGTATCGTTTGTTTCCATGCGTTGATTCACGATCTCGTTTTATGCCACGATTCCAGTTTCTAGTTTTCTGGTGAAGACCGAATTTTCTTTGGTTTTGAGTTACGTGTTTAATAAAGACTTCGATCTGCACCTGCATCCGCCTCCAGTCCCGTTTCGTAACACCGCCAAAACATTAGCCTCGTCACATCGTACCAATTAAATTACAGGACAGGTCACAGTGGACCAATGAAACTGTTCGAATGAAATCAAACGCACTCACACTAAAAAGAAATGCATATGATGTTGCTTTCAAGTTAAAGGCGATCGATCTGGCTGTCGAAGAAGGAAATAGAGCTTCTGCATGTAAGCTTGGCATCAATGAATCGAATGGTGAGACGGTGGAGATGGCACCGTGAAGAACTGACTCAATGCAAAAAGACGGTGAGGAAGAGTGTGACGAAGTACAGGTAATTCTGAGGCTGTTCAATTCCGACACTGAAGAAGATGACTTTAGTGGTTTTAGTAGTTTCTCTTGAAAACCTATTAATGCTTACTGCATTGCCAAACTATGTTGTTTCATATATTAGTGCTATTTATTTATATTTATTTTAAACATGGTTTTGTTATTTTTGGATATATCACAATTGTTTAGCACAAATTTCTACATAATTCCCACCCACCAGCCAGAGAGGGAGAAGGCTAACTTTCTCTGAAACACATGAAGCCATTCAGCCACATCTTCTCAAACTACTGCTCATGCACAGAGTGGTGTAACATGCTCAGAGGAAAGCGCTGTCTGCCCCCTTCTGCATCCATGAGATCACAGACACCCACGATTGGCTATTGCCGCTGTGATTGACAGGGGAGAGAGAGTATGCCCCTCACACCCAGAGTTCATAGCCAATTCTACTCTCTTGGACTCCCAACTGGAACATCATCTGGATTCAAGCTTGCAATCTCCAGATGATCAGATGAACATTTTTCTGTTGCGCCACTTGTGAGCCTTGATTTTATTTGTATTTTTTTTTTTAAATTTACACTGCATTCTTGGAGTCTGCTCCTGAATTGCTCATAAACAACCACATCCTAAAATGTACCATTATAATACATGTGAAAACATCTTGTCTTTCCACTGCACTCATGTGTGAATGCGCTATTTTAAAAAGCTTATTAAATGCAGCTTGTCACAATTCCAACATAAAAGTCTGTCATGCCATTCTCTCAGGTTTTCATTTCTTCCTCTTTCTTTTATTTTATCATTGCATAGTGTTCCACTCAGTTTACTATTTTTTTCTCGGATAATTGTCTTCACATCTTGACAAAGAGGAGAGATCTGACTGACCATGGCCCTTCTCAGATGGCTCTAATGTAGCACTAATGACCACTACTCAATTACGCGGCACTGAAGCAGCTTCACCCGTGGGCCAGAGAGAGAGGTGTCTGCTCATTTCTCCAGTTCCATGTGGCTCAGGGAGGTAACTCTCCATCACTCTGAGAATCAAATGAGCCATTACAGGCCAGAGTAGGGACACTTCACTCATTAAACGAAGCTTAGTGTTAATAGGGGACTTATGCCCCAGGTAGTCTGATAGCGCCAGTGAAGCAGAAGTCACCAGCTTCGTTCTCTCCTTTGGCCAGCGCACATTAAGCGAAATATTTGCATAATGTCTTGAACAAGTGCTTAGAACATGACCACTGCCATTGTAAAGCACATTTTTGTCTTTAATTTATTGATTAATTTTCACATTTACATGTGATTCATTCACATGTGAAACATTTTCATGTGATTCATATTCATGTGATTCATTTACATCCATCCATCCATCCATCCATCCATCCATCCATCCATCTTCTACCGCTTACTCCTTGTTCAGGGTCGCGGGGGAACCTGGAGCCAATCCCAGGGAGCATCGGGCACAAGGCGGGGTACACCCTGGCAGGGTGCCAGTCCGTCACAGGGCACAATCACATACACACTCACACACTCATTCATACACTACGGACACTTTAGACACGCCAATCAGCCTACCATACATGTCTTTGGACTGGGGGAGGAAACCGGAGTACCCGGAGGAAACCCCCGCAGCACGGGGAGAATCATGCAAACTCCGCACACACATGGCCCCGACGGGAATCGAACCCTGGTGTGAGGTGTGAGGCAAATGTGCTAACCACTACGCCACCGTGCACCGTATTCATTTACATGTGAATCATTTATGTATGATTCATTTACATGTGATTCATATTCAAGTTATATATTTTCATGTGAATCATTTACATATGATTCATTTACTAATTTGCTTCTCTTTAAATCCAAATTTAGACTGTGATATTACAACGATCTTTCCAGATTATTACTTGCTACACTGTATAAGATAACCCCAGTAAAATTGCCTGAATTCTATAATATAATTTGTTCACCATGTTAGGTTTGAATCCTCTAAAAACAGATTCGCAATTAAATAACATTACATCCTTCAAAGCATTGGCGAGTTCTACTTACTCTCACAATCCACCAAACACACACTCACACACACACACACCCAAAGTCTCCATAAAGAAATGAGGCAGCAGTGTATCCTACAAAAACCGAACGTTGTCCACAATGTGAAAACAATTCAGAGAGTACGCTGAACGAAGCAACAAAATTACCAAGACTGATAAACAGTCTGCACATAATAATAAATATAACGTCCTTACCTTTTAAAGACTTGTAACAAATAATATAACAGTGTAGCACGTAAAGCCGAGGAGATAACACTAATAAAATTTTAAGAAGAGTATTTCTAAAATGTATTTATAATAACATTACTGAATTAAAGTCACACTTGATTTATTTGCTTTAATGAAATAAATTTTGTTGTAAGCTGAACTACATTGGTAACGCTGACCTGTTTTTGTGTAATATCATATGATGTTTGCTGTTTTCGACATTTCTTGTTACCCATTCCCTGATTAATATCATAATCTCCACTCTACCTCTACAAGTCTTCCTTTTCAACCCTGCCATTTTGTATGCACAATCTCAGCCTGAGCCATCCTCTGCCTCATCCTCTGCCTCATCCTCTGAAAATACATTGCTACACTTCTCTATTTCTCTCCCTGTCACCTCCAATAATGTGTTTCATCTATAACAGACCATTTCTGATATCTGAGCAATGGAGCAGATACTTATCCCTATGTTGAATGAGGAATAACCTTAGCTGCCTTCATGGGTGAGTTTAGCTGCAGAGATCTCCGTCCATGAGTATGTGCTGATGTCATCAATAGTACAGGTCAATAATCACAAATGTAAACATAAAAAAAAACAAAACATTTTTTGTCCGAAAGTGGAAGTGATTTTATTTTCTCCCTGGAGGTGATTCAGGGAAAGCAGGGCAGTTTAACCACTACTTTAGTATGTCTAACGATCCTGTTATCAACAGCTCACATATTCACATACAGTTGTTATAAAAATATCATGGTTTTTCATAAACAGTTGATATACTCATTTAAGATGGCTATAAATATATATTCTAGTGTGTATGCAAACACATAAAACCTAGTGTGTGAATCTGGCAGCACTTAAAAGTGTTACTTCTAATCTCATGGTAAGGTACTGTATGGTTATACCATGCCATAAAATGACATAGGCAGTTTATTTTCCAGGCCCCAGAACGTCTTGATAATATTTTAGACAAGCTTCATTGACAGCAGATTACTTGAGTGTGATGAAGCCTCCTTAGTGTTAGACCAGCCTGAAACACACACTGCAGTGCTATTAAATGTGCAATACACTGTTAACAAGACCACATCTATATTTATCTCTTGTTGATGGGTGCACATTGACTACAGACATTGATTCCTGCTCGACTAGACTCTTACTTTCCTTCTCGAGCTCTGATGGTGTCAAGGTTTAGAGAGACAAATGTGTCTTGAAGCTCTGCAGCTGCCAGGACGGACAAGCCGAGCGGTTCCTTAGCAGCAGTTGGTGTCTGGTAATGAATCTCAGACCAGCTGTGTGATGGATGGATGTTGGAGCCAGTACAGATTAGACAGGTCTGAATGCCAGTAGAAGTACAACTCTGTCAAAACTGTCTTTACTTGGGGTCTGTGACAAAGAGTCTTGGGGAAAGATAAGGAGATTACTGGGCTTGCTCATGTTTTTTTTATTTTTTATGACAGTTCATGTTTCCTTCTTTTCTGTAGCTTTGTAGCTCTCCATTTAAAAATGGAAGATATTTGTGGTGCTACAGTATATGTCACTGATTTGTTTATGGTAGAAAGTAGATTTCAGGATCTTCCACTTTTAAGTGAAAATCAATACAGACCTTTACGCCACACAATCTCGTTATATTTTACATTGAAGCTACAACAAGTGGATTTGTGTCTTTGTGCTTACTGATGACATTTTTCAAACTAACATAAAATTGTACAGTGTAAGCATTTTTTAATGCATTTCAACTAAAAACGTAGGCGGGGAAAAAATCCACAGATGTTCATCTTTTGTTAGCAATAAACTAATTAACAAACTAATTGTGATTAGTGACGTATATTTTCCTCCTCAAAACTGAACTCTATAGTCCATGTTATGGGTTTAACATGTGAATATGTCTGTAAAGCTGATCTAAAGCAGTATAATTCATTCATGCATTCATTACAAATGCCCCATGGTCTATTGGTAGAGATGAATGAAACCAATCAAGCAATTCTTAAAAAAAAAAGATAAATCAACAAATGAATGTATAGACCTATCTCAATGTGGAACTGGAGGAAAACCAGAGTGTATATTATAACAATCTGTTTTTGTTGATTCATTGTTTTGAAAAGAAGACATTCTTCCCTTGTCAGTATTTGACACGTAATTTATATACTGACCACTAAATTTATGCCCACAGATTCAGAAGTTTCATCAATCTCTCATTTTTTGCACTCGGTATAAATGAGTTATACATGCAGGGAATCCAGATTTATGCAGGCTTACCCACACACAAACACACACACACACACACACACACACACACACGCACACACACACGAACACACGCAGACACACACACGCACACACACACACACACACACACACATACACACACGCGCGCACACACATACTTGTGCAAGTCCACGCACACGCGCACACACGCAGACACGCAGACACGCGAACACACACTCATTTAATTTAACTGTTGTACAGTTTTATGAAAAGTAATTGTGGCACTCTGGTCCTATCTGTATTCTTTTTCTCAGATGATTCATTTAGCAGCTGATTTGTAATAGTATACTGTAACTTTAACTGTGTGTCTATGAGAAATTATTCTCTGGATCAAGTCATTTAAGTGCTGCATTTTGTCCAAATGTGTAATTCTCTGCTGGAATATGATTCATGACTGTGATTGAACATTCCTTGATGTCACGATTTCCCTTCGCGCAAAGCACTGGAGCATGCAGCGTGCGCCGAAGCTTGAAGTGCGAGCACGCTCTTCCAGGTTTCAGTGACACTGACTTTGTTTACTTTTGACACGTGTGTTTTATTATGGTTTATGTCCTGTCTCTGCCCCTGAATTGTTACTGGTTGTTTCCCTTACGTGTCACCATTGTACTCAGCTGTTTCGTGTCTCACCCTTGATTTCATTCAGTATTTAAACCTCTCATGTCTCTTTGTTCATCGCAAAATATTGCGTGAGTTTTCCGTACATCAAGCTTTGTTCTTTGTTTCTGTGCCATAGTTTTGTTCTCACCCTTGTTGGTCGATTCTTGTTTAGTCTAGTTAATGCCTGTTTGCTATTGTCTCACATTTTGGATTTGTCTGACTGTCTCTACTCTATTAAAGCTCTTATCTGCACTTGCATCTGTGCTAACCTACATGATACCGGTTCCCTTAAGGGCCTGTTGATTGAATCACTTTGCCATAGTGTCACACAAATGCTGGAATCCACCAGAGACTTCCTAGAACACAACGTGACCTACAGTACAAGCATGGCTGCCATGGACCACAATCTCTAGCACAACAGCGGCACTTTTGCCATCTCCCGAGTTGTAATCACACACACCTGTTCACAATTACACTCCCACGTATATATACATACAGACTTTTGACACGTACCCAGTTGTGAAGTAACGTTCAGTGTGCCTTGCTCTTTTATTTGTTATCTTGCCTCGTTAAGAGGTTTTTGGATTTTGTTTATGCCTACATTATTCTGTTTGCTGATCATCTGACCTTCGGCCTGTTTTATGTTTATGATCCTTGTCTCACGTTTTGGAATTGTGTCTTTTTAATAAAAGACTAACCTGCACTTGCATTCATCTCATAGTTGACAGAGTTTTACTGCTGTTTTCTATAAGCCCTGTTCTGCTTATATGGGGCATACAGTAATGATGAAATTTCCTGTTATGTATAGCAAGCAGGTTGAACCTATTGCTTTTACTTTAGTATAGAAATCACCATCCTGCCTGTATGAGGCTTTAAAAAAATGTTTTTAACTCGGTCTTTATGTCCTAGAAACACAAAGCATAATGGGTTACACGACAGAACGGAGATAAAACATGGGAATGTGGTCATTCTGACTCAATAATGCAGAAGTCTTAAAATCAACATCAAAGACAAAATTTGTATATTCAAAACAATTTAGGGTGTCTAAGACTTTTGCACAGTACTGTGCAAACAGTCATTAAGTTTACAATAGAAATTAAGATATATGTCACTACAGGCAATAAAGGTACACAAATACAAAAAGAAAAGAGACTACATCGTGCTTGCTATCTGGCTAGCTCAGTTAGACTCGCAACTGTATTTTGTATTTATTAGATTAGATTTCAGATTATACACAATATCTCACAAAAGTGAGTACACCCCTCACGTTTTTTTTAAATTATTTGATTATATCAATTATTTAGACATTAATGGCTGTGTATTGAGTTATTTTGAGGGGACAGCAAATTTCACTGTTACCCAAGCTGTACACTTTTGACTTTACATTGTAGCACAGTTTCATTTCTTCAGTGTTGTCACATGAAAAGATATCATCAAATATTTACACACATGTGAGGGCTGTACTCACTTTTGTGAGATACTGTATGACGATATGAAATGATATTCAGATATACAGTACTGTGCAAAAGCCTTACGTACCCTATTTTTTGGTACACATTTTGTTGTACAGTGCCCTCCACTAATATTGGCATCCTTGAAAAATATGAGCAAAGAAGGTTG